CGTCGCTATTCTTGTTATTATAGATTTCAGATTAGCTACGGTTCTTATTCATCGTTTCGAATGCCGTATCTCGACGCTTATCATAGGATTACTGTCCCTATCCATAATAGCACACCCAATGCACAACGGATTTTTGGTAAGCTTGAAGACCACCACCATGTAATCGCCCGTTCAAACTATTCCAACGACTAGTCTCTCTGCTGGCTACCTCGGCGACAAAGTCCTTACCTTCCCAAAATTAGCCACCTACACTGGCCCAGACATTACCTGCTTCAAGGTCAGCAAACAAACCAAAAATTTCCCGGGTTCATTCAGCGTTATGCCATCAGATTTTCTTTCTGTTGACACCGTCTTATCTAATGTCTCCTGGTACGGTTTGCCACCCACAATGTGGAAATAAGTATTATGTTATTGTTATTGTCGTCGCTATTCTTGTTATTATAGATTTCAGATTAGCTACGGTTCTTATTCATCGTTTCGAATGCCGTATCTCGACGCTTATCATAGGATTACTGTCCCTATCCATAATAGCACACCCAATGCACAACGGATTTTTGGTAAGCTTGAAGACCACCACCATGTAATCGCCCGTTCAAACTATTCCAACGACTAGTCTCTCTGCTGGCTACCTCGGCGACAAAGTCCTCACCTTCCCAAAATTAGCCACCTACACTGGCCCAGATATTACCTGCTTCAAGGTCAGCAAACAAACCAAAAATTTCCCGGGTTCATTCAGCGTTATGCCATCAGATTTTCTTTCTGTTGACACCGTCTTATCTAATGTCTCCTGGTACTCACCAGACGTTACTGCTGTCTTCCTATTCCGTCCTTACTCCCCCTTTTTCACATGGTCCTCGAATTTAAGGCAAATTATCCGTGACCCTGCATCGGCCTGAATATCTCTGCGTCAGTCTCCCCGCCTAACACAGATCCAGCTATCAACGAAATGTTTATCCTCTCTCCGACTGAGGCATCCTTGGCGACCGTTACAGGGCTGTCCATAAACCGAAGTATATCAGTGCAATAATGGACTGGCACTACCATCTCCAATGCGAAGGCATCCCTGCATTTATTTTCTTCAGAAACTCGACCGTGATCCCTCGCCCACTTAAGTCAGTAACTGCAACTAAGAGCAGGTTTTTCGCCTGCCATCAACTGCTCCTGAGACGTGTTCATTCCAACCCAATGAAAGGTTCGTCCGGATTTAATCAACCTGGTTTTATGCTGCAATTTCGGCTTGCCTCTGCAAGTTCAACTCCGTATATGGTATTCGTTTGGCACCATGCATTACCATTATCTTCCCATCGAACCTATTCTTCGCACCTGACGTCCCCGCAACAGTGATACCAGTGTGTCTGTTTAGTCTCAGTTTAAGCCACATTTTCGGGACCAAACTTGCCAGTTGCTTTCACTTTGAATTATTCCATTTCCATATCCAACATTGCTTGCTGTGACTCTGGCCATTTACACAACGGCCCGAAAATCACTCATGGCCAGTAATGGTTATCACTTTCAGTTCATGTCAGCCGGTTTAATCTTTGAAGCAGTCGGACCACATGCCCACTGTCCTTTTTTATTTTTTCGGTTTCCGCCATTGCGTTGACTGTTTATGCAATAAGCATGCTTCGTCGGTTGTACCTCCGCCCCCCTGGCTCGTTGCCTGCCGTGCTTGATCTGTAACCACATGATCAGGCATCAATCGGCATGTTCCCCATAAGCTTGGAGACAAACATATTATTATTTCATTAAATACTGCTCACTTTTTGTGACATTATCCTCTCTTCTGAGCAAAATTTAGTACCCGCAAATGACCTGTCATGATCTATTCCGACTGTAAATATATGATCACACCTGACGGTATGCCACTCACAACTTGGGATCAAACATCACTACTGTTATGGTTATCATTATTATAAAAACGTGGTGCTGTTAGAATGGAAACCAATCAAAGGAATGAACGATATAAATTTAGGTTTATACACAACCTAATGAAACCTACCATTAGACCAGTAGCACTGGACTGCAACGGTCTTGGGAGTGCTTTGGCTTCATCTAGGGGTACTTCAATTGAAAGGGATTATGAAAAGCATTGGGCGAAAATCCACGAGTATGAGAGTATTCAATACGAAGAAGACATCACCCATTCGACCGAAGCATCGAATGCCCTTAGGGATTCTAGAAATTTGGTCCAAGCTGTTGTCGAAGAAGCCAGCCACGAGAAATTCAGGGAAATCACAGTTACCAAGCTTTCTTAAACAATGCAAATCACAGATTCGGGAGCTTATACTTGAAGCCCTGGCCACAGTGCTGTTTCTCGGCGAAAAGAGATAGTAATGTTGGAGTACATGAAATACCGAGGAAATTGACTGACGGCATGCTCCGGGAGAGTAATAAATAATAACCCGCGAAAGAAACGCTGGTTATGACGGAAGGTTACGAAGGACGCGGCGCTGGTTTGTGATGGGGAACTACCAAGGAGAATATTCTGGCAGAAATTTGCCCAATACAAACTCCCCAATAAAAAAACGAGACAAAGTAGCTTCACGTTTTTCGAGAAAGTCAACAATCTACGCGGAGAAATATTTTCACCCGATGTTTCGTTGATCGCTTGACGAAAGCAGCTCTGTTTTTGCCTGACAGAAAATGATTGCCACACTAACCTTCAAGCTAGAGACCGCCTGCCCCCCACCAGTTACCCGCCCAGTAGCACACCGTGTAGCATGAAAGGCTGAATTCTGGAGAGGGCCGTTCAGATAGTCTTGTTCCTGAGGACTTGTTTTCCTCAGTGGAAACCCGATTCACTTTCGAGTATTCATGGTTTGCGAAAGCTCCCGTTTTTTAACCGTTCTTTCCCGATCAAATGCAGTTCACAAACTCACCCGTTGTAGATTCAAAGCCACTCTACCGAGTTCTCGAAGTGTAACTCCTTTGAAATCACGAGACCCACTGGATCCATGTCTTTGCTGCCGGTGGAAAGTTACTGGTGAGGACAAACCAAACGCCTTGTTTGCTCAACTGATAGTTTCAGTGTCATCTGAAAGTCCAAAATGATCCGTTCCGAGGTAACTCTTTTTTTGTCCAAATAAACCAATTTCTCGTTGCGCTTCCAGGTCAGTTTAAACTTTAACTGGGCACCTGAGGTTTTCGGTCTCCACGTTGGGTGTGCCTGAGTCTTGGTGCAGTAGTATGAGAGATTCTTCAGATATGCTGGTTCTTAAGTATATCATCCAGATTTACAACAAATTGGATGTTCAAAGGACTGCTGTCAAAGTGGCCACCGGCCGCATGTGTCGAACATGGAGGATCTAGGAATATTCCTAATACCTTCTGTGTAGAATGTTTTACCTTGCATTGGAAGACTGAGCTTGCGAGCTTCAGTCGGCTAATTTTACTTACGGAGCGAAATTTTTCTGAATGCTGACTGTGGCATTGAAAGTCTTATCGTCCCAGAATGTAAACCATAAGCGCAATACTTCATCACTTTTAATGGAAACCTCTCTCAGTGGTGCGAGATGGCCCAAGTGGTTAGAGCGCGAACTTACTCATCGGAAATACCGTGGTTCGAATCCGACTTCCGCCTCTCGACTTCCCCTGTCTAGGCTTGGGCAACCTGGCAGTATCCCAGCCCTCGTGCTTCCTTCGGGTGGCATGACGGCTGGGCACCGCAAGGGTGCTACGGCCGAACACTTTCTTTCTCAAAGTGGTTAGCTGAACCAACCAAACATCTCAATAGTGTTAGCTTTTCTATCAGCATTTGAGAAATTGAAAAGCATATAATTAAAAGTAGCTGACTGACGCGGTGATCTTAACCTTGT